TGACTGTACTCTGCCCCTTGCCTATGACCTGCCTGGTGCCTTTACTATGCCTGGTTCCCATACACTGCTCGATGCTTGTATTCTGTATTATGCTTGGTGCCTGTACACTGCTCAGTGCCTGACCTATGCCTGGTGCCTGCACTACTTGGTGCCTGTGCTCTGTCCTGTGCCTGTGCCATGCCCAGTGCGTACACTGCTCAGTGCCTGTTCCATGTCTGGTGCCTGTACTATGTCTAGTGACGGTACTGTGCCCTGTGCCTGTACCCTGCCTAGTGCCTGTACACTGCTCAGTGCCTGACCTATGCCTGGTGCCTGTACTCTGTCCTGTTCCTGTACCTTGTCTGGTGCCTGTACACTTATTTGTGTTGCTGAACATTGCTCAGTGCCTGAACAGTACATTGTACCTGAACCCTTCTCAGAGCATGTATATGACTCTATGCCGGATCTACCCTACCGAGCAACTTTCTATTTGTATTCACTGCACATGTTGAGTATTTTTTTGCCTCGAGCTGAATTACCTTATTTTTTGCTTTGTGTCTTATGAGACGATTCCTCTCATGACAGTTGGTTTGTGAAAAATGCTGTATTACTTAAAGATTTTATTTCCTTGATCTTGACAGTTTCTTCTACATAGTGGTGCAGCGCAAGACCAGCAAATCAAATGTGAAAGCCAGTCATAGACTGACCTTCCTGTATTCAGACAGCTGCTACGTAGCAGTGACACATTGTTTTCACTGCATAAGTAGAAACTTCCCTTTTAATGATATATTATGTTAAGATCTTTATACAATATATCTACCCAAATTATTAGTAAATCTGCTTTATAAAGTGTGTTAAATCTTGAAAACCTGCTTGTATTTGTCACATTAACACCTTAGAGTAAGAGTTACATTCATTTAGTGGGATCAGGTAGGCCCAAACAAATCTCTTGACAGTAACCATGAATTTCTTAGAAGATTTGGTACTTTGTTGGGTCTTTGGGCAAAATAATGTTTCAAAATAAAATTATCGTAAGAAAAATATCATATTTGGCAGATTGTTAGTACATTAATTTGTTATATTTATAAACTGCACGCAAACAAGAACATCTTGTCACAGTAGGGATGCACCGATACCAACTACCGTACTTGGTACTACAAGTACGTGTACAGATACTTTTCCAGGTCCAGGACTAGACTAGAGAAAAATTCAAAAGTTAGGAGGCCGCTGTCATTTGTAAGCAGCACACGGAGCTCCTGGGATTTGTACATCTCCGTTTTAATGTACGATTTTATTTTTATAAACATATTTAAGCACGGCACCGATACCATTTTTCCAAGTACAAGTACTGATACTTGCCCAAGTACTCACAGATACAAGTATTGATACATTTTTGTTTATTGTCATGTGACAGTTTTTCTAAAACAATACAGACTAATGATTACAGGACAGTGGTGGAGTGCCAGAGCCAGGTCCCAGCTGCAACCGCTGCAACCCTGGTAGTTCTCATGAAAATGCCAAATAAACGGCAGTGGTATCTGAACCGGTATCGGTGCATCCCTAGTACAGAGGGATCTGGGTTCCAAAGAGGGACTGTCACCTCAAAATAAGGCCAGAGTTGAGAGCTATATTAAAAAGACCCTGTCACCAAACCGTTCATTTCAACAGAAAGTTTACCAGAATATTATATGAGCATTTAACATACTTTAGACATGTTATTTACCTTTAAGAGCTTCACTAGTGTAGACATCCAAAAGCCCTGAGGCTGCTGTTGTGTGCCGCCATCTTGGATGTGATGTCAGCAGCCCCAGCAAACTCAGGGCTGTCACTCAAGTAACACTCTATAGCAGGGGTAGGCAAACTCGGGCCCACCAGCTGATAGTGCAACTACAAATCCCATTAGGCATTGCAAGCCTCTGACAGGCATGACTTCTAGAGGCAGATGCATGATGGGATCTGTAATTTCACCACAGCTGGAGGACCTAAGTTTAGATACCCCTGCTCTATAGTATTCCCCTTCATTCCCTCCAGCAGATAAAAAATGGTTATGTATGGAGTTGAGGGGAGGGGTAAACTAGCTGGGCCAGCACAGACAGTAATTAGACACTCCCAGAAGAAGAGGGGGCTGTGGCATGCAAGGAGGGAGGAGGAATTGACTCTCCTAAAGTAATCAAATTTTCTAGCACGTTCAAAGGCACATTGCAGGTGAATTAATGGAAAGGATTGCATTATTACTTGGGTGATCTAGGAGATGTTCTTATCCTGTTCGGATTTATGTTTGCCAAGGGCAGGAATACTTAGCAGCACCATATGACAGCTATAGAGTGATATTATCCGGTTCTCTGTGCTATCGAGATCCAGGCACAGCTCAGCCACACTTCACCATCTAACTGGACAGACTGGTTTCTGATGTGAACTTTTATTTTGGGTAATAGAGCAGAACGGGGATAAGAAGTTCTCTCCACACCTTGTCTCTTGTCTGCAGGAGGAGGGACAGGCTGCGGTACCTTTGGGAAATAAATAGCATGGTTACTATGTAACAGTGAGCTCGGTGACTGCCAATTATAGAAAAAGGAATTACGTAGTACCAGGAGGCGTGGGAGGTGACAGTTCAGGTGCAATTGTCCTTGTCTCCTATCTCGCATGACATAGGGTGCAGATGCCCTTATTCACACACACCCTCCGCCGAGTATTCACAGCCACCTCTGTGACGTGCCAGGAAGACATTTAGGTGCAATGAAGAGCAGAGCAGATGAGAACTGAGATTTCTGCTTGTTCATTGTTTATAGACATTCCGACAGTCCTTTAAAGGGACACTGTGGGTTAAGTCTTATATATGCTTCTAAGTCTACTTGTATACATGCAATCTGCTTAAACTGTACCTGTACTGCCAGCTTTAAATATGGAGGCTAGTGGTGGTGGGTGTAGAAGCCTACCTGGATTTCCAGGTATGGTTAAAATGGGTACATCTCCTTTCTTCCACAAAGGCAGTGCTCTGTGCCTAAGAAGTCAATAACCTGGTTCTGAGAACTCATCCTGTCTACAAAGCCTTTTCCTTACCAGCATGCTGTATGTAGAGAAGGACTGTTGCTTTCTGTGCAGAAGCAGTGGTCTCTCTGCTGAGGTGCAACACACCCCCTGAGTCAGAAAATGAAAGCTCATGCTTCCTGCTATTTTGAGAGCTAGAGAAAGTTAGAGGTTGTCCCTTTTAAATAAGCTTCTAGTAAGCTTCAGCATTACTTGAAGCTTGCTGATGCCTAGTAGCTGCTTGTTTAAAGTGACAGTACTTCCATTATAATCTGTGTTTCAGATACTGAAACTGAAGTTTTCTTTAAAAGCGCCAAATAGCTGCTGGAAATGTGCTCAGAGCTTTATTAATATTTAGCAAACACTTGCTTCACACTGAACAAGGCTTTAGAAAAAAAAGCCATGCAAAAGCATGCACTGCAGACACACTGCTCATTGTGTGAACACTAAAAGCAGTGGAGGGTCATCTTCTTTATGTCCTGAAAACCAGCCAGATGGCTGCAGAACTGGACTCATATCACCATTGTATCTTTACCTACTGTATACCCAGCCAATTGTTTCTCAGTGTATCTCTTTAGAATGTGCTATGGTGATATTACATATAAGAGCACCTGACTACTCTCAGCTGTTATACTTAAAGGAGTTGTAAAGTCCCAGCATATACTATCCGGTTATAACATCAGCATTGTAATAGGAATACATACAAGAATTGTTTTTGATAATGTAATTAAAGCTTACATGAAAAAAATCCCTTTTAAGTAGTGAGTGCTGCCTTTCGTCTACCCATCAGTTTCATCAACTTCCTGGATTCCCAGTGAGCTTTGCATCTCTTTCCCTGCTACTTGATGTGATGCAATTGTGATTACTCGGGACTACATATTGCGTGGCCACTAAAGGGTGTGGCCACTGAGGGGCGCTGTAAAGCTTTCTCGCACAGGGCGCCTAAAGGCCTAAGGCCGGCCCTGTATCCCAGCATGCATTGCTAACCACAAGCAATGATAATATTACATTGTGCAGATATTGAGTAGTAGTTCAGAATGTAGGCTCTGACACCAGGAAGTGTTTATTCACAGGGCTGAGTGAAATTGTGTCAGTGCAATTTATGGGCATTTTTGATAAGTAATTTTGCAAACTTCTAGATAAATATGGTTATTAAAAGGGGGATAGAAGTTATGAAAATTCAGTATAGAAATACAGATTTATTTTTAGTTTGTTTTTGGTGATAGATACCCTTTAATATCATAATGTTATCAATAGAGGAATAGGGTATAATAATAATTAAATATTAGTATTGATTAACTTGCAGTTTATTTGGTTCCAACTGTGAGGTGTAGCATTGAATCCATTAGTACTGTGAACCTGGATGGTTGTGAAAATCCCTGACATCACAAATACTGATAAGTATGTCAGCTGTAATGGTCCGTGATAAGACAAGGCTGGGATCTCATCTTCAGATTAAAAAAAAATATTTTTGAACAAATTTAAAGGCCACGTTTTAGTTTTGTGTGGATGCTGGAGTTACTCATTGGGCTCTTGACATTTTGTGAATTCAGGGCCTACTATAATATTCTGTTCCACTGGCTACGGCCATTGCGAGGCCATGTGGTGGTGCCACACTTCCATGATGGATTATACGTAATGTGAAACAACCAAGTGACTAGGTAATCCAGTTGCAAGAGAACTAAACTATGTTTGTGGAAGGGTAAAAAGCACAAATGATTTTACTTAAACCTCATAGTTGGAATATATAAGGTTTGTATAAGAACCTTCAACCCTCTAGGGGCAACCCAATCTGAAATATGTTTTTGAGAGATGTGGCCTATAAGTCACGTATTCATGGCCGCTCATGGAATTAAGAATATAAAATGTGAGGCTATGAAAGTGATGTTCAATATTATCCAAGCCATCCAGTCTTCATATGCATCCAGTAACCAGATCTGCTCTGTGAATACAAAGTGACTTATCAAGGCTGATGTGTCTTTTATCTGTTGTAGGCCTCCAGACCCGGACTTGAAGACTTCTTTATCAGAATGCATGGAGGCTCTCGACATGTTCTTGAACAACAACTTCCAAGAGGCCCTTAGCTACCTTCAGGCCAAGTAAGATTTCTCTTATTTGTACTGCACCAATGTGTAGCAGACAGTGCTCCACCACAAGCACGATCATGTCTCCAGCCTACTTCATTCTGTCACTTGAGGGGATGTATTTGACATTGATGTAAGCTGGGAAGACGTGTGTGGTGTGCTTCATTGAAGCTGTTTCACATCCACTAGCTGTGAAGTGTTTGAAAAGCATCATCTCTAGATGCAGCACTATCTTGGAGTAGGCAAAGTATATTGCAGATAAGCCACAAGTTGAGCCACAGAGAGTCCTGTGACTGATCTTTACAGTCCCAACAACCTGTTCACCTTCATTTCTCCAGCTGGATTACTTGGAGGTGTAATCCCACGATACAGCAAACCTAAAACAGAAGGGTAATCACAAACTGAATACAGGTAGCCCTCAATTTACGCCAGGGTTAGGTTCCTGAAGGTATGGCTGCAAGTAGAAACCAATGTAAATTGAAACTCACTATATAATGTAAGTCAATGGGAAGTGAGGGAGTTAAATTCCAGGCCCCTCTCAAAAATGACATAAGTGACATAATACATTATATTTAAAGCTTTGAAATGAATGTTATGAATGTTAAACAGTATTATACACAGTATAAAATAAGTGCCCACAGTTATCTGACTGAGAAGACACCGACTCTGCAGTGGTTTCAATGACAGTCATGTGAACGCCCGAAAAGGGATTTATTTTGAAACCGTGCAAATTGTACCGGTGCAAACTGAGGGCTACCTGTTTTGTGTAATTTGGTGCTCTCTTCTATTAAACTGGTCATAGATATGGGAGTATGATGCAGGCAAAGACCTCATGTCTGTGTGTTCAGCAGATGCCTTCTGGCTAACCAGTCCCTGGGGAACAATTGCTCAGATAGGTTATAGGATGCATTGTGATCATTGTCCTTTCCCTGAGATAAGTAACACTGGCACCATCTTCCTGTATTTCCCTCTTCTCACGCTCCATCTCCCAGAAGAAGGGGGTGCTCAAACTCATGAAGCACGTTGGCTATATTTCTACCAGATTGTAAATAAAAGGCTGAATTTGTGGACTTAAGCTCTTCAAACCTTTGTTTACATCACTCACTGCACACTGATGTTGCACTGCTGAAGGATCACTATTCAGTTCAGTATCTCCAAGAGTGGAGCAGCCAAGGATCTGAAAGCGGTCCACACACCCATTATCTAGACCCCCAAATTTGGATTGCCATTTGAGCAATCACCACAAATTTCACCCAACACAACCCTACACATCCAAGACAACCATGTAGGGCCTGTTTACACCATCATGTTGCGTGTGTAACTGTAATGCACCAAGCAAGGTGTGATACGTTGGGGCGCCTTTGGTTTTGAATAGCACCCCAATGCATCTACAGAGTGCACTTGCCCTACAGTGTACCACAATGCGCAAGTGTTCGGCAGGAGAAATTTCAACTTCATTGGGGCCCTATCAAAGTAAACAGGTTTTGATAGTGCAGCAGGCCACAATGTATGATAAAGCATGTTGTTGTGGAGCACGGCGGTGTGAACAGATCCTTACTTTAAAGTGGTATAGCATACATTTATTATGTACTTCAATTGCTGTTGAATAAACTTACAAAGTAGGAAACAAAGAACGAAAAAGGGCGCCTCCATAGTGTAAACATTTAATTTAATGATAAAACACGCAGCTCTAGGCTGTACTTACAGAAATTCAGTGGAATAAAAGCGTGTAGAATTCGATGGGAAATCGGAACCACTAGCAGGGTGAGTCTGGAAAGATGTAGTTGACCAGCGTCCTCCGCCCCTATGAGTTCAATAGGTTTACGCGTTTCTGGGGCACGCCCCCTTCATCAGAACCCCATCAGAATCCCCCAAGTGCTGGCCACGATGCTCAGGGTGGCTTCTTTCTCTTACAGGTTCCCAAGAAGCCACCTATGTGTGTACGTTCCCAGCATGGGTACACAGAAACAGGTTACCCTCAAGCAGCAAGCCACTCCCCTGCTCCTCCTAGTATGTTGATTGACCTTCAGGTCAGATAAGATTTCTCTTATTTGTTCTGCACCAATGTCTATCAGACAATGCTCCAGTACAAGCACAACCGTGCCTCCAGCCTACTTAATTCTGTCACTAAAGTGGATGGAAGGGAAGCTTTATATTTCACATTGATGTAAGCTGGGAAGATGTGTGTATGTCCAGGGTGGCTTCTTCCCTATGTTCTCAGTGTGTATGCTCCTGTACACGGAAGTTGTGGGAAGCAGCATGAAATGATCTGGAGCTTGGGGGGCAGTAAACAGATGAAAAAGTAAGCGTTGGCCACACAAATTTCACACAGTGTACTGGTGAACATTTCTCTAAATGATACAAGTGAAGTGATATTAAAATGTTGGAATGTTTAGAACTACTTTAGAGAGGGCTCTGGTCAGGATCCTACATCTGCATCAGTTTCCTCTTTGTTCTTATCTGCTATTATAAAACACTGCTTGTGTTAAAGTTCTTTCTCCTTGCAATAGATTTCTAACTGTATCCTTCAATAAGCATGAAGCCCATAATATGCACTAGATACTAGTCACGGATGATTCAGCAGATAGCTGTTGGTGATTTTATCAGGTTTATCACCATTAATGATTGATTTTGTGTGAAAAATCAGGATTGCTGGTGTAACAAGTTTCCATATGGTGTCATGTCACTATTATGAGCAGACCCGAATTGTATGTGTTCACTTCCTGCGTCTTCACATGATCCATGACTCATTGACCACGTTTCCACCCAGCATTGTCAGATATTTTTTCACCTCAGAAATGTGCGGCCGGTTCTCCCAGCATCCTCTTGTCAAATTTGCTCAATGTGGATACCGTAATGATAATATTCATCCCCTTATCTGTATACGAGCAAGATCTGATCTAAGAAATTCTCACATCTGATTGCTGCCCCACTTACCTTTGTAATTATATGTTGTTGCCTTTAACTGGATGAGATAAGAAGCCTCATTACAGACCAACACTAGTCCATACAAGGCCCTTTCTAAATACAATTACAGCATTAATTTCTGGTAACATATAGGTAATTATTGGTGGTTAAGACCCTGGTCAGTTTTATTTGGGGATTCTGTGTCCCATTGGGGAGATTTCCCTCTGCTGCTTGTCCCAGTTACACAAATTATTGCAATGTTCAGGCCCATTAATACCAGGATGGTGGCCAACACTAGTCCAAACAAGGCCCTTTCTAAATACAATTACAGTATTGATTTTTGACAACATAAACCAATTAGAGGTGGTTAAGACCCTGGTCAGTTTTATTTAGTGCTCCATGTGTCCTATTGGGGAGATTTCCCTCTGCTGCTTGTCACAGTTAAACAAACAATTGCAACGTTACGACCCATTCACACCAGCCTGGTGACCAACACCAGTCTTAGCAAGGCCTTTTCTAAATACAATTAACGTATTGATTTTTTAAATCCTATATGGATTTAGAGGTGGTGTGCCAAGTCCTCATTCCCTCGGCAGGGTTACTGTAGGGGAGGACGTGGCAAACCACCTCTTCTTAAAGGGTGGACACCCATAGCTAGAAAATTATATTTGAACTTGAATGTCTTCTTGGGATAGTTTCTATTCCTTTTCAGACTGATTCTTTTTGGTTATTTGCCTGACACCTCCTCTCATTACTGATGGAAAGTATTTAGTATATGGGGACAACATATGCATCTCGCCTATTCTGCCCACGGGGGATTTCCAACCATGTTATCCACTGCAGCCCCAAATGGGGATAGTTGTTCTACATGTTTTGGGACTGTGATGTGGACCTCTCCATGTTGTCTGAATTCTTCTTCCATATGTTGTTTGAAGTAGTAGACTAAGATCTACGAACCGTGTTACAAAAACGTGTGCCCTTATCCTGTACTTAGTCATGCTGCTGTATTCTATCTCATCATCGACAAGGAACGATATATAAAACAACAAGACAATCTATTTGGTTGATTGGTAGAAATTGGTTAGATTTGGTCACATGGATGGCTTCAGAGCAGTGGTGTCACAAGGGGGGTGCGGCCCACACCCAGGTGACACCAATGGAGGGGTGACGCCAAAATGACTGACACTCATTTTGGTGTCACCCTCCCTCTAAAAAGTTGGGCACTCGGTCATGGACAGTTTCGGGGGAGAGAGAAGGGGACCCGGCGGCATACCTTATTCCGCCGGTTGACTGTACCCTCCTCTCTCTGCTGGCATCCATCACCAAGATGGCCACCGGCAGGTATCAATAAGATCGCTGCGCATGTGCAATGACATCATGCGTGGTGACGTCACTGCGGGTTGTCACTCAGTAACGCTCCGGGTGACACCCGGCCTCGGGACGCCTCTGCTTCAGAGCAGAGTATTCGGAATAGATTTTTTTAAACTATCATGGAGACAGAATCTATGTTTTGATCTAAATCGTATCCATTCAGTGTATGGTAATGTTTTTATGACTGTGCTGTAAATATAATTGACTTTTTAGTAAAACTTTGTTTATGATCTTTCATAAAAATCCCAAGTATCTCTATTAATGGTTCATACAGGGGTGGACAAATTAATATAGAATTTTAGGAGCCAGTCTGTCTAATCTGGGAGCCAGCAGGAGTTTTTTTCTTTAGGTGCCAGCTCCATTGACAAGGACTAAAGAAAGTTGGGCGCCAGGTGTAGTTTTTAAATGGGCATCAGCTTCCCAGATAGCAAGCAATTGAGCTGCAAGTTTGAAAATGACTTGCTAAACTATTGCAGACTTGCCAAGCTTCACAATTTTGTTGCACAATTACATCAAGTCTGCATTGCAAGTCTCCAGACCAGCGAGCTTGCAAAGCTCTTGCTAAGACCTACAGGACTCTTGCTGTAGACTTGCCAAGCAAATTTGCTACAAATTAAAAAAGTGTCAACTAGAACTTGTGCTGCGAGTGTTCTGCAAGTCTACAACTTGCCAGGAATATGTGCAGCAAGTTAACAAAATTACAATTTCACCCTGCCACACGTTTGTAGCAAGTTATCCTTGCAATCTGGGTTCCTGGGTCTGGGATTTGTCCAGCCCTGGGTAATGTATGAAAAATGTAAGGGATGTGGTGTCATTACCATAAATCAATGACAAAATATGTACATTAAAATGCAAGCCGTGTAAGCTTCTGAATGGCATGTAGTGGTGAGTTTACTAATCCAAGTTCCTTCTCTGCTTTCTATGCACAGGTCCAAGGAAAGCATGTACCACGCCTTGACCTACGCCACCATGCTGGAAATGCAAGCCATGATGACCTTTGACCCTCAGGACATAGTGAATGCTGGAAACACCATGAAAGAGGCCCAGGCCGTGTGTCAGAGGTGTGTACTGGCAGAGTTTACTCATCCTCAGGGGACGTGTAACATATGACATTGCTCTGACAAATAATAACATGGCTCGGACCTGATCTATGTAATTCTCACTGGATTACAGGCGTGGAGTAGAAATACTCTGCATGGAAAATCTTATGTCAATAATAAGTTTGGAGGGTAAAATAGGTTTGTGTTGGAAATGTCAAATCTACTGGGAGGGTAAAATTTAAAAGAAGATGGGAATCTATTATTGTAACATTATATATTTATTTTTATATGTTCATATAAATATTTCATATTTATAGTATTTATTTATATAATATGTATTTGCACTATAA